GCAAGCATACATGTGGCTCTCAATGGGGTACCAGGTGTATTATGAAAACGCAGCAGGGCCAAAAGTAGTATGGACTCAAAGCTCAGCCAAGGGTTACCAGCCATACCACCTATGCTTCTTGCTCTACTTCCCTCCAACCTTCTTTGTATCTCTCTTATGAATTTCTAATCCATGCCTCAAAATGCCCTCTGCTTTCTGGGACAGGGCAGCAGCTGGAAAACTGAGGTAGTGGACATCTTTGGTGATTCTAGAGGCAGAAATGAGGAGGGGATTCATGTAGGTAACCAGGCTGGACTAGCTCCTAAGACGCACACCTGATGAAGGTCCCTTTGTGAGTGCCAGGCACTAGTCTGTAACACAGCTCAAAAGATTTCACAAGAACTCTCATTGTTCATATAATACTACCTCTGCACCCAATAAGAATTCAAAATCACAGCCAAATTTACTTCCAGCCACAAGACACCCTCAGTCTGACTTTACCCAGATCCTCTTGAGGTGTCAACTGCCTCTCTGTGTGCTTCTAGAAATAAGGTCAGACTAGGAATGGAATACAGACTAAAACAACTTAATGAGTATGCCCTGCCACCATCCTAGGCTAAGGATGGCAAACAGCATTAGAGTTTGCCCAATTCATTTTCATATCATCTGTGATAACAGAGATAGGGCAGGTATGCCTATCCCCCATTCTACAAATAGAGACTTGGGTCTAGAGAGGCTAAAATTATACAGCAATATCAGAGCACATCAAGTGGAGGGGGGTAAAGCTTCTTTCTCCTCCGGGCTACTCCTCTACCCCACCCTGTTTTGTTCCGAGGCAGTAACTAGCCCCACTTGCTTCACTATGCCTGATAGAAACATCTACCGAAAATGAGCCAGGAAAAGGGAAAATATGTCTCATGAGCCTACATATCATCAGACACATCCGATTAGAAGAGAATCCCCATTCTATCTAGACAGTACTTCTGGGTCAATGAGGTAGTATAACACGTTAACCAAAGGAATTAATAATGTCAATGTCATGGGCCCTATTCCTTTGTGGGTCATGTTTTTTTTTTACTTGTTACCAAGATCTCACTTGAAACATGACGATATAGGGAAACGTCATGAACTATCCCTTATTATTTAGGATAATCAAAAGTATTTTATTTTTTAGAGATGGGGGTCACACTATGTTACCCAATAATGGTGCACTACAGCCTTGAATTCCTGGGTTCTAGGGATTCCTCCTACCTAAGCCTCCTGAGCAGCTGGGACTACAGGTGCAAGACACCACATCCAGCAATAGTATTAAAAAATTTTCTCTTTCTTTGCTACTTATTGTCAAGGGGAGACTATACAAGTGTCCATAAATCAGGCAGTTGAATCCCCCATATTCAGGGAAATCATAGGAACCAGCAGGAATTGACGATTTCCCCAGCTTGATCATTTCCTGGTCCAAAGGGTCTCCTATGAAAACTATGAGCTAGACTTTCAGACTGCATGTCCTCTTCTCCCACTAATCACTATTTTTTCAAATTCCCCCACTCCCCAGAAATCTCCACTTGTACTACAAGATATCTGTGAGCATGTATGCCACACCATCCCTGACGCAAACTACTTCTGTTTTTTTCTGCAAAGCAGATTCTCTGCCATTTTCCACCATGGTTCCTGCACCCTACCTCTGGCTTTCCCTGACCTGAGATCGTCATGAGTGATTTGGAGTCACTGAAAAAGTCCTCTTCTACTCTCTGAGTCTGGACTTCATCAGAGTGTACCTACAACCCAGTCCTCACCTAGTGTGGAATTACAGGCTGGCATGGAAAGGGACACTGCAGTAGGAGGTGAATAAGACTAGATACAGCTCTGAAAGTTATTGCCCTGTGCTCCTTCACAAACCACAGTACTAGCAGAAGAATGGGAAACTCTCTTAGTAGAAAATACAATGGACTGCCATTGACTCTCCATATGAGAGTCATAGGCAAGCCACTGAATACATCAGTTTCATTTTTTCCATCGGTTTCTCCACAATCTTTCCTGACTGCCTCACAGTGTGCCTGCAAGAAAGTAACGAAATAAAGGATGAGGAAGCATACTGTAAACAGTAACACTGTATGCAGATGAAGCAAAGCTTCATTTTCCTCACTCTGCAGCTCTGAGAAGAGGGCCAGAGCTAGCATAAGAGATTGGCTATTTGACCATGCATGGTGGCTCACGCCTCTAATCCCAGCACTTTGGGAGGCCGAAGCAGGAAGATTGCTTGAATTTAGGAGTTGAGACCAGCCTGGGCAACATGGTGAAACCCCATCTCTACCAAAAATACAAAAAATTAGCCAGGTGTGGTGGCATGTGCCTGTAGTACCAGCTACTCAGGACGCTGAGGTGGGAGGATAGTTTGAGCTTGGGAGGTGCAGCTTTCAGTGAGCCAACCTGGCACCACTGTACTCCAGCCTGAGCGACAGAGTGAGACCCCATCTCAAAAACAAACAAAAAAATTGGCTACTAGATGGTCATGGTATCATTAAAGACCACCCACTTGAATGTCATTTTAGACATAGGGATGCCTAGACCCAGGCAGGGCAAGTGATATACCTAGGATTCCAGGACTAGAGAGTGGCAGCACAGGGATTAGAACCCAATTTTTTAATCTGCCAACCCAATTATCTTTCCTTCCACCCAAACCAATCAGTGTATACAGACTAACAAGGCTGTTTTCAAGAAGAAAGGTGTATTGTTCTGAATCATAAAAGGAAATAAAATTAAGGCAGAAAAATGAAGAGGGAATTAATGAAATATGCCAAAATAGTGTCTTGTCAAGGAAAACACAATACAGGCAACCTTTGTGCTTAAAAAAATACTCTGGTCCCTTTATATACTGTTAAGGCCAACCCAGTTATAACTGACTTTTACTGTAAAGGACTACACTATTTGGGAGGAATGGGAGAAATAATTTTACCCCCTGCATATCTAAATGCATGTCATAATGAGCCTTCATATAATAGGGGTCAACTATACATTCAGTGGAAAGTGAATCATTAAAAGGCACCCTGCCTCTCAACACACGAAGCACTTCCTCTACAGCTTGGCCAAGGAAACCCTCATCTACCCTCAAATAATCTCCCAGCCAGACCACAAAATGCTGGCTGCCCCATACTTAGTAACACCCCCTGCCATGCTCTCACTGGCTCACAACTGGCTCACAAAATGATCCAGGACCACAGCAGCGAGCACTCTCTGGGGTGCTGCTCAAGATGGGTCAGCTCTGGGTAGAGCTCAAAAATGACCCCTTCAAGGCAGGTTGTCTAGGCAGACTGTGGAAATTCTGTGGGCGGTGTGAGGAGAAAAAGGAAGGGAGGAACTGCCAGACCATGGAGGGCTGCATATCCCATTGCGACCTTGGTGGAAAGATCGGGGAGAGGTGGAGCTTGATTAGAAGAAATTCCTGAAGGCCAGGATTCCCCTCACAAAAGGAGTTGAGTGTTTTTGTTACAAAAAAAAAAAAAAAAAAAAAAAGCATATGACTTTCTCCAGAGAACCCTGGAGGGAGACAGCCTCGGGAGGGGTTGTGACGGTGGATGACAAAGGCATCTCAGGCTAGTTAAAAGACATGACAAGTATGGGAGAAAGGGTGCTGGAGGAAGATCTGGGCTGGTTTGGGGAGGCTAACGATCAGAGGGGTCCCTGCCAGCCCCCCAAATGTTGCCTCAGCATACCTCAGACTACTCAATCTGATTGGTACACCCCATGGCAACCCTCCAGGGTTGCTAAGAGTGTGGGTCCCAAGGCCTGAAGGATCCTCTACACTGCAAGTTAACCAGCAACTCCAATGCAAGGCGAATACCGCACAGGTTATTGTGGGTGTGTGTTGCGGGGGACATTTACTGAACCCTCTGCTGAGAAGTGACCGAAGTTGAAACCCCCCACAAAAAATAGTGACATTTGTTCCCTGCTGAAAAGACACATCGTTCTATCTCCAGCCTGAAACCACATCTACAACTTCAACTGCCATTTAAGAGGGTTGGAAGCGGGAGGGCTTTTTGGATTTGAGGATTTAAGAGAAACAACAACAAAAAAATGGAATAAAGTTCGTAAAGTCCGTTCACTTGGCAGTCTGGCACCTCAAGGTGAGTCGTCCCACAAGTCACTCTTCCTGGTAACAGCTCCAGCTGCCCCCATCCCTCACCCTCACCCCTACAGGGGAGGCTCGCTTTGGGGGTTCTGGAGCACTCAGGAGAGCGCCTCTCTCCTGTCTTCAGCTGCAACTTGGCTTCCAGCAGATCACAGCCTCCTAAAACAAACAAACCCTGGCGGCGGCGGCGGCGGCGGCAGCTCCAGCACAGCTGCGCTCCATGGCGCAAAAGTTTCCTCCACACTTCTCACCGCGCAGGAAATCTCGCCGGCGCTGAGGCTGGACTCTGAAGGGAGGGAGAGGCCAAGCCGAACCGGCGGCAACAACTCCCTGAGAGCTGAATGGATGTGTGCGCGTCCGGCCGTGGGAAGTGAGGCTGGCAAAAGGCACCAATGCCTCATCTCCGTTCCCACACCGGCCCCTAGCCCTGCAACCTGCCTGATTGGGACGGCCCGCCGGTTGATGGAGGGCCAACGTTGCCAAAAGGACTGCCAAGCCGCGATGACTGTCCCTTCAGCCCCTGACTGTCCCGTAGGGACGCAGGGGCCTCCAAGGAGAAATCCCCAACGGCCGCCACTTCCTCCAGCCCAAACTGAGGGGAGTAGCCGCCCCGACACGGGGAACAAGGGCCGCCCCAGAGCCCTGGTGAGTGTGTCTGCGCGCTAGGCTCTAGCCAGGGGCCAGTCTTGGTCCCAGCTCCTGTTCCAGCCACCCTTAGGGGATGTCCACGCCTGGACTGGTGGCAGGACCCCTCCGTGCCGCTAAGAGGGGCTTTTGCCCCCAGCACTAACTAAGTTTCAAAGTTGGCCTGAGGGCCCCGTCCAGCAGCAGCCTTCGTACTCGCTGGTCCATTCAAAGTGGGGCGCCGTTAGGACTTCGAGCCGCCAGTTCTTACCTTAGACACTGTGAGCGGCTCGCAGTGTTCCAGACCCCCCTTAAGGGTGAAGCCCCAGGGCGCCCCCCCTTGCAGCTGCACAGGGACGTACTGGAAGGACCCAGGCCGGTTCTCCATCCTCGGCTGGGCTCAGGCGCCGTCGGGCTCCTTTTCTGAGCGGGGCTACGTTGCCTCCGCCCCCAGCAGCTCCGCCACCATCGCTCTCCAGCTCTACGCCACCCCGCACCGCTCCGCTCCGCCTACTCTCCCGGCTGGAGACGCTCCGGCAGCGAGCGAGCGCAAGGAGGAAATGACACGGAGCTGGAGAAAGGGGGAGGGGGGGAATGGAGAAGGGAAAAAAGAAAAGAAAAGAAAGAAGGAGAGGCGGAGGGATAGCGCGTAACGGACAAGAAAACGGAGCAATGGGGAGGGGCAGTCACTGGGACCTCGCCTATAGGATCGCTGGGGAGTGGGAGCAAGGCGAGGCCTCACATCAATTGTTACATTGTTTCATTCAAGCTGGGCCCCTCTTTGGTCCTCCTCTTTACTGCCGGGTTCTCCGCCCCTCCAGCCAGCCCAGGCTAGGGGAGGTGAAAGTCGTTAGTGTGGACGGCCCGCGTGGAGTGGGCTGAAACGCTGGCTTCCTGATTAGCGTGTTCATGTTTCTCTGACTGCGTTTTTCTTCTGAAGGTCCGGAGACCGGAGACCTGGGAGGGTTAAAGGCTTCTAATTTGTGGACCTTGCCTAGAGGGGTGGAAAGCAAAGCAAGCAGGTCAGGGAACACAGTGAGGCTGTGTGTGTAGGCTGCTCTGTGTGTACGTACGCGCTAGGTGTGTGGGGTCATTATGAAACATTGCCCCGGAGCATAGTTTAAATAAAGAAGCACTTTGAGGATGCCCCCAGCTCGGGTTCCCCGCACCCTGGCTCAGTGTTGGCATCTATGGGTAGCACTGTGCTTGTGTATGTTCCAGTCATCTGGAGTTCCTGGCACGGCCTTGCACTTGTCCCACTGAGATGAGCAAGCCAGCAATCAGCAAACTTTATGACTGGCAGTATTGTCTCTAAACAAACCTACAGGAAAGAGCATCCATTGATAAGCTGGCCAATTAATAATGTTGTGCCTTTGGGAATAATCAGCTGTTAGACTGGATCCAGAACTTCTCTGCTCATCTGTTCAAGCTTGACCTTGTAGCTTCTGAGCTGGGCTTTTATAACAGACCAAACAAACAGCCACAATAATAGACCCGAAAAGCGAATTTGTTACTGAACCTTGTGCCGATTTCTCTGCCTTCACTTGGACAGGTTATCTTCTCTCTTTGAGGTGTTTTCTCTGGAGCCACATGCGGGCAGTGAATTTTTAAAGGGCCTCGCACTAGCAGGGAAAGTGTTGACAACTCAGTAGTGACTCAACAGGATGTTCCGACTCTGTCTCGCCTGTTCAGTCTCTTCCCCTGTTCTTGTGCAGCTTCTTCATAGCCAACAAACACACTGCGGCTCCTTCCTTCACAGCCAGCCTTCTGCGGTCAAGGTTTCCACTCTCTACTTCTATTTCCTCACCTGTCACTGCCTCTTCAACACACTGCAGCCTGCGGTGTGCTGCAGCACGCCACTGAAATGTCTCCCACAGTCACCCCCTCCATCAATCCTTTTTTCTCAGCCCCCCTGGACTGTCTACATATGTGATGCTGCCCTGACTTTTCTTTAATAAAATGGCAATTTAGGTGTTTATAGCCTGACTTTTAAAAGTCCTTAGAGATGATTCACAGTGGAAACCATCCTCGATCTTTTAGACTCTTATACCTACAAAGACCATCTTGATCATGTTTATTGTTTTGTATTTTCCTTACTTGAAAGCAGAAAATTTGATAAAATGGCAACTCAACTTATTGATTCTTACTTGTGTTAACCTATGTTATAACATTCATTTGCACTGTCCCTACCTTGAAAGTAAGCATTTTTTTTTTCTTTTTGGGATGATATTTCTATGATTGTCACTTGGTAGTACCCAGCGTGTTTCAGTCCCAGCATATCTGTAAAGTTCAGTTCACAGGATTTATAGTCATCACTCAAAGACTATTTGAATTATGTGTCTAGACTAGAGGAAAGATGTTTGGAAGCCGTAGACACACATCTGAGCCCTGGCCTTGTCACTAACTAGATGGGCGACCTTGGGCAAATCACTGAACTAACTCTTTTCAGTCTCATGTTCTTCCTCTGCAAACTTTAGCTAATAAGCCCTGACTTTCCTACTTTCCAGGCCTGTTGAGAGACTAAGATGAAATAATACATATGAAAACACTTTGGTAAGGAAAAAGTAAAAGTCCTCTCACAGCCTTATTATGAAAGCAAGCACTGAGCTAGCCTTTAACTAACCTATTTTCATTCCAAGCCTTACTCTCCAATGATGTCTTGTTGCACTCTTCAGTTTATCCTTTTCATCATTACAGCAGAACGTAAATTACCTAGCCCCTTGTACAAACAGTGCATAAGTACTAGATATTTTGAACATAAGGTGGCCAGATTATCTTGCTTCTTTATTGATAAAAATCAGTGCTGCTAGCAGGCATGTCATTCTTCTTTGGAAGCATACAGTTAGTGGGAGCACGATTGCACAGTGGAAAGGGTACTGGGTAGCACTTGAGATGCCTAGATTCTAAGCTAGTTCTGTCATTAATTCACTGTGTGATCTGTGATATTAAGCAGGTTACCCCTATTCTCTGTAAATTGAAGGGGTTGAGCAACTTGATTTCTTAAGTTCCTCTAGAGTTTGCAAATTCTGTGACTACTTCCTGGCAAGTGCCTAAACATAGTTTATGTGCAAGCAAAGTCTTGATGATGGAGTTGAACCAAGTAAAAAGAAAGCAATGGATAACATTCAAGGAGTATATTTCTCTCTCTCTCTCTCTCTCTCTCTCTCTCTCTCTCTCTCTCTCTGTGTGTGTGTGTGTGTGTGTGTGTGTCTGTGTGTGTGTAAGTGTGCACATAGACACTGGAGCCATCAGCCAGATGATAAATTCATTCTAAAGTATGTTAAATTGACTGTGGGGAAAAGGTGGAAAGTCCACTAGGCAGGTAGAAATAGGAAATTGCATATCAAGGAAGGGGTGGTGATTGATCATACAAGTTTGGATGATAACTGAGGCCATTATTTGAAGTATATAATTTCACTCCGAGAAATTAGAATCTCACCCAGAAAGTAGAGTCCTGGATTACACTAACATTTAAAATATTATGCCAATATTCAAAAGTCAAGAAGGATAACAAAAAACCCACAAGAGATTAGACAGAGGAGGTAGGCAAAAGGCCAACCAGGGAGAGATAAAAGAACACCAGGTCAGGTACTTCCACCTTATTAGGAATTTCTCTCAAGGGTCTTGTATTCATTGAACATCTATTGACAAGTTTCCAATTTTAGAAGAAAGAAGACTGAAATAGCAGTCTTTCTCTGAACTTTTCTTTTTAAACTTCCTTAGCTGGACCTTTTTTAAAACTCAAATTCGAATACAATTTGCCTCATTGCAGTGCCTCCAGCTTTTTGTTGTTGTTGTTATCATTTAAAATTTTTTTTGTGTGTGTACCCCTGTGGGATCCAGTCTAGCTCCTTTTTGAATGAAGAACCTTTTGAGATTCTAGAGAAACCTATGCACTCTCCCTAGAAAGCTACACATGTTCACACAATGCTGTATATAGTTTGGGCTGAGACTTATAGACCCTAGCTTCAGAATCCTTGCTTTACCCTAGGCGTGGTGGCTCACACCTGTAATCCCAGCACTTTGGGAGGCCGAGTTGGGGAAATCACCTGAGCTCAGGAGTTCGAGACCAGCCTGGCCAACATGGTAAAACCCCATCTCTACTGAAAAAAAAAAAATACAAAAGTTAGCCCGGCATGGTGGCACATACCTGTAGTTCTAGCTACTACAGGAGGCTGAGGCAGGAGAATCACTTGAACCTGGGAGGCGGAGGTTACCGTGAGCTGAGCTCCCGCCACTGCACTCCAGTCTGGGCAACAGAGTGAGACTCCATCTCAAAAACAAAAACAAAAATATCCTTGTTCTAGTAAAAGACAAGATTTGTTCTTTTTGAGTGTGTGGTAAAAACAAAAAACAAAAAAAAAAACCTACACATTTTATGAGGTCTACCCTCGCGGCAAATTTTTAATTGCTCAGACCAGTATTTACAACTCTATGTAGTTGTTCTAATGCAGATCTTTAGAATATCTTCATATTGCATGATTGAATCTATACAAATTGAACAACAACTCTCACCTCACACCCAGCCCATGGCAACCACCATTCTACTTTCTCCTTCTGTGAGTTTGACTACTTTAGATACCTCATGTAAGTGAAATCATGCAATATTTGTCTTTCTGTGACTGCCTTATTTCACTTAACATAATGTCCTCCAGGTTTATCCATGTTATCTCATATGACAGCACTTTCCTCGTTTTTTTTAAGGCTGAATAATACTCAATTTCGTATAAACATACACATTTTTTCTTTATTCATTCATCTGTCGTGGGGATTTTTTCCAGCTTTACTGAGGTATACTTGACAAATAAAATTGTATATTTTTACAGTGTACAATATAATGATTTATATTTGCATTCATTCTAAAATGATTACCACAATCAGCTAATTAACACATCACCTCACAGTTGTCATTTTTGCATGTGTGTGGTACAGACTAAGATCTACTGTCTTAGTGAATTTCAAGTTTAAAATGCAGCATTATTAACTATAGTCATCATGTTGCACATTAGATCCCGAGAAGTTATTGATTTTATAAGTGATGGTTTGTATCATTTAACCAACATCTTCCCATTTCCTCCACCCCTCAGCCGTAAAAGTGAGATCATGCAGTAATGCAGCATTTGTCTTTCTGTGTTTGGCTTATTTCATTTAGCATAATGTCCTCCCAGTTCATCCATTTTGTCAAAAATGTCACAATTTCCTTCTTCTTTAAATGAATGAGTACGCACACGTATATGTAGAGTTATTCATCACTTAATGACGGGGATATGTTCTGAGAAAAGCATTCTTAGGCAATTTCATCATCATGTGAACATCATAGAGTGCACTTATACAAACTTATATGGTATAGTCTACTACACACCTAGGCTATATAGTATAGCCTATTACTTCTAGGCTATAAACCTATATAACATGTTGCTATACTGAATACTATAGGTAACTGTAACACAATGGCAAGTATTTGTATATCTAAACATATCTAAACCTAGAAAATATGCAACAGAAATATAACATAAAAGATAAAAATGGTACATCTGTAAAGGGCACTTATGAAGGGAACTTGCAGAACTGAAAGTTGCTCTGGGTGAGTCAGTGAGTGAGTGGTGAGTGAATCTGAAAGCCTAGGACATTCCTGTACACTAC